CGCTGCTCCTGGTCGTCGCCCACATGTCCGAGGTGGACTTGGGCACGCGGTTCATCGAGGTTGATAGCTCTCAGGACCTTCCCAGGCCCTTCCACCGTCGTCACCTCTTTCTTCTCCTCGGCCTCAACATCGTGCAGTGCACAGAACGTCGCCATCAGGATAGTGGCCTCATCCTCATCATCGGCTTGCGCCAGATGAGCCTCAGCCTTCTTCTCCTGCTTGCGATTTGGGCACTCCCGTGCCCAATGGCGCATCTTCTCGCAGCGTCGGCAGGCGTTGAGGTTGACCTGCTTCTTCCTCTCCGAAGAAGTCTTGCCGCGACGCTTGCCATCGCCACCGCAGCTAGAGGAGGCTACCCCAGAGTTCCTCCGAGCAGCCCACTCCTCCTCTGTCAGCAGCAGCTTGCCGCTATCCTTCGTTGCTGTTGCCTGCTCCAGGCGCTCGTTCACCGCCCGTAGATGGCCTGTCACATCCTCAATGGTGAGGGTGGACAAGTCCAGCATCGTCTCTATGGAGGGAGCGATCTGGAGGTACTTTGCCGGCACGGAGTGGATGTATTTGGAGACCGCCTCCTCTTCGTCGATGGTGACGCCGTGGCTCTTTAGCTTGCTGATGAGCGTCTACAGACGGAGGGAGAAGTCCTCCACCGATTCACCATCCTTGAACTTGAGGTTGGCGTACTCCTGCTTCAGAAGCTGAGCCGTCGCCTTCTTTGCGCGGTTGGAACCAACGCGCATCGCCGCAATGGCCTCCCATGCTTCCTTAGCAGAGCTTTTTGCCCCCAAGGGCTCCCTGTACTCCGCTGGTACAGCAGCGAGGATAGCCTCCAACGCTGATATGTCGTCTTCTTCATTTTTGGTGCCCTTATCAAGAGCATTCCAGAGCCGTCGGGCTCTGAGCTTGACCTTCATGGTCACCGACCACTTCCCATAGTTGATGCGAGTCAGCGTCAGGCAACTGGTGCCGCTGACCTCCCGCACCGTGCGAACAACGACCTCCTGCCGTGGTTAGGCAGTCACTGCTGTCGCCCAATTTCAAACCGCCCGTCATCGCCAGAGGTTAGTCTGGCGACGGCGCTTGTACGGCTCCGATACCACTTGTTGGCCCACACAGGATCACCGGCTCAGGTGAGTCGACCACTCACCAGTCTTGCCGACCACTCACCGGTCGTGCCGACCACGACAGACGTTGTCCGACCACACACTATGGCTAGAGATAGAAGAAGTGAGGAAGAATAGAGCATACACACACAATAGAAAACACCAGCGTTGGCCAGAGTCCTACACAAGAGATGGCAAATCTAAACTCACTTTACTGAGTTGCAGTGGCAAACTATATATACAACTCTATCCATCTAGTTCTAGTACAGCTGTCATGCTGCTACAGTGACTAGATAACACAGCAGGGCTGACTCTGGCGCCTGCCCTTACATGTGGCTACAATGCGTCAGGTGAACCGTTCGGCGTCTGCCTCTGCAGCGGCTACAGTACCACAGCAGGGAGCCTTCCCCTGCTGTGTGTTCATACAAGGTAGCAGTAGATTATCTAACAAAATATACAGTGCTGCATCTCAGATTCGTCCCCACCTGACGCCCCCCTAAATGCTAAACACTTTCGTAGTATTAAGGTAGCCCAAGGCATTGTCTCTCGAGAGATTGAAGGTCCTATGAGTGCAATTGAGCAGGATGAGTTCAGCTCGCCCCCTGTGCAAAGCATGATCGTGTCTCCGATGACTATGCCCTGTTCGCTTGGGCTTGTTTGGCTGATAAGCCATGGCTGAAAGTACTGTTGGCTGATTTGGTGTGAGAGAAAAATACCGTTCGTTGGCTGAAAAAGTACGGCTTATAAGCCAAACAAGCCCAAGCGAACAGGGTGTATATGCACGCAATTCAGAATCCTGCCCAAATCAGGTCTTACGACTGGGCTGAGTATGTACTTCGCCGCTTACTTGATGCTGTTGCAAAGTTGAAGTCAGATATTGCTAACAATGTCAAAGTCCCCTATATTTATGGGTGCTCACTGTTTCTACAGGTACACTCTTTTTTATTAGAGCTTTCTTTGTATTCCATGCTAATAAGCATTTATCTCTTCTGATAGGTTTCCCATCATCATCTTCATCCTTCCTTATTTTTGTCATTCACCTATTTTTTCATGCAGGTCCTTTACCTGGACAGTATTGATCTAGGACTACTATCGATGGAACACAATTTATTCCCCCGGATTCGGTGTTTCACGTCTGACCGGATTAGGTCCATGATAGCTGCGGATTCCTCGTTCTCGTCCAGTGGCTGTGATACGTTTCAGTCGCGGAGGATCATGGTGCTTTGATATTTATCTCACCAACTCAAATTAATTAGCCCTACTTGTTACAAATCCATATATGTTTAGCAAAGCTTGTCCATTTATTCTGATCCATGATTTTCACAGCTTCGCCCTGTTGATGGAATCTGCTACCACTGGGCTACTTCCCAAGTCCCGAAATCTGGATCTCCAAAGCATAAATCTTGCATGCTTGCGTTGTGGGATGTTGCTGTTATGATGACACGTGTACTGAAGATCCCACCTGTGGTTGGTTGTTTTTTTAACACCACCCTTGAGCTTCCTGAACTTTTCTTGTCTTCACGCTCAACTTAAATTGTCTTATTATGTTTCTTATGTGGCATGTTTTACAACCATATTGATAGGCGGCCGGCCCTCTGTTCGTTGCTGCATCTGATTTTCGAAGGCAAATTAGTTCTGCTGTTGGTGTTGAGGCTCTTAAGTTCATGAGTGTACTACTACATACCATGGAACCATATGTGAATGGCTTCAGCTACCAGTCATCCATCAGTGCAAATTCACACCCAATTGGTAACACCACGCTCCCTCTATTTATTTTTTTCTTCTTGCTAACATTGTTCATTTGCATCTTCCACCACTGACACATTTTTATTTTGTTGTGTTGTCGGATTCCTATCTATCTCATTGTTTATTTCTACATTTTTTTTTCTGTGCAGACCTGTGTAACATGGGCCACCCGCCTGCATGCACGCACTCCCAGTGTTGCTCTCATTTCTCATCACTTACAGCCAAGAGGAAGTCCAATCTGTTAAGTGGTGACTGCAGCTCCTCTTTGCATATTGAAGGCACAATTATCAAGCGCCAACATGCTACAAATGAGACTGATCCACACGCCCTCGAGTTGGATATTCGACATTCACCACGCACTGCCGCTCAATGTTCAAATGCAGCAGCGGTTGCCATGCAAGGGGTTCTCAACCGTCAGGAGGTTGACATTAGGGCTATTAATGCAATGGCTAGATTTTACTTGACCCTTAGGCCTGTAAAAGCCACCCGTTGCTTGGATCTGAATTCAAGGCCACATGTTGATGATCTTGGTCATACATTCTATAGATCCATATGTGGCAACTCTTCGCCCCCACCCCAATCACCGTGGGATCTTGGTTGTAGTTACACTATTGATTTGGCAAAGGCGTCTGACATTCGTAAGAAGCTTAGTTTTGTTGAAGACGTTGATGAGTAAGTCCCTGGATCTTTTTTTCATGTTCTGACATGTACATCCTTTTATCTCTTCTGCTGCATCTCTGTAAAACCTTATGTTATTGCAACCCTGACTGTTACTCCTGAACATCCCTGCGCAATGCAGGCCATGGATTGCACACTTTTGCCCCAAATACATCGAAGTGATCACATGTGCCGTGAAGGCACAGTTTGTTGGACATTCTGAGTTTGAAATGGAATTGGTTGATGCTGTTATCCGCCGTTATAAGCAGGTTGATGATGATTTATATGTTCACGAAGGCCCTGCACGATGGAGGCATTTTGTTGAATCGGATTTCATGGTGTGTACACAGATAATCCCCCTCTTCTTTTTACGACTAAGTTTTACCCTTGATTCACACACCATTGGTGCTATCAAATTTTATTTTGACGGATCTTAATTTTCTACTTCATTGGTGTCTTGTTATTCATAATGTTCGTACTCCATTATCTGTACTTAATCAGGTTTCCTTGCTCGCTGGCTGGTTTGATATATCCGATCCCGTAGTACAGTCACATTTCTGTGGTCGGCATATCGGTTATGATGTCACTGCTTGCCGTATTGTAAGTCGAACCTTCTAATTATGTATACATATTTGCATTTTGCTGCTTCCATGCACCCTTACTGCCACTGCCCTGTCACGTTGTTGCATGTGTCTCATTCCAGTCCGTTTCAGTGAAATCTGCTGCTATTTTCCCCTTTCATTCTTCAGTATCGATGGGTATGTTTTGCCTGGCGGATGCATGACAACACTATTGTCGTATATGACCCGTGCATCCCCCTGAACTCACATACTGATGCGTTATATTCATACGAACGCGTTTCGGAGCTTCTAAAATCTGCCATGATGTTAGTATCTTCGACAATAATACAAGGATGGCGTAATGATTGGGAAGATGCCCGGTTAGAGATTTTCAATCACGGCAATTGTCTTGCTCCCTGGTTAGCACGGCATGACCCTGCACTCTATAATTGTTGAATCTTAGATTTTATATTAATCTCGTACATATGTTTTTTTATCAGGGGTCTCCCCTTTGTTTTTTCATTATTTTCAATTCTGAAGAATTGTTTTTTCACTCCAGTTTTCGTTATTTAATGTTTTCTACTCACCGTTCCATTCCATCACCTGCGTCCATTTTCTATCTGACCAGATGTGTGGCTTATTGTCAAAATATTTTTAGGGACACATTCAAGATTGGTCTGCGATGCTCCTTGATGAGGTTTCGTCGCTCGCTGGCAACTTTGGTTTAGTTCCTACAATTTTTCGTTAGCACACTGCCCTCCCGGTGCTCACCAGCTATGATCTGGATCCGTTCAGAGCCTTTTTTGTCTTGCCATTTCTGGGGTTCTCCTCGTCTGTTGATGTCGCCACCTTCTTGCCTGTGTCGTCTGGACGACTCCGCACTTGATTTTTCTTCTCATTCTCATAGGATTTTAGACTTGAGTTTCGTGGCCGCCCTCTACGGATTGGCCTTTGGTGGACATTGGCTTGGTAGTGCTTCTTCGTCTGAGCCAATGCGCTCTCCCACGTTTGCCACAGCTCCCCCCTTAACTGTTGTCCTCAATGAGGTAAGCCTGTCTAGGGCTGCCATTGCCTCTATCAACCAACCATCAGTTATCGTTCCGTCCACGCCAGCAGCAGTCAACACCTTCTTCAGCAATAGTTGCTTCCGGATGTACTCTGTTGTCTCGTTGTCGTAGTCTGCACCACTTTCTTCTATCCCATTATTCTTCTCTTTTGTAGCATTTTTTGTCCACCGAGCCATGATGTTACCTGCTGGTATCTCAGTTTTCTCCATGTGTACAAGTACCTGCTTTCATCCAAAAATCATGAATGCTATCAAATTCGATTTGATTATAGATACTACATACACTAACACTTCATCTTACCTTCAGCGCGTGGCGGCATAGTATGCCCACATGTTCCTACACACCGCAGCTGCACTTTATCATATCATGCTCTTCATATCTGACGATGAATGCTCTCTGTTCTGGGCCCTCAGTCTCTTTGAAATGCGCCACCATGTAATTGTGGGTGCCCAGCCTTTGCCTTATTGAGTAGCTCCCCGAATGGTACAGCTCATTGTTGAACCTCTCGTACATTGCCCTCGTGTAAATCTCCTCCGCGTGCCGCTCTATTGGCACTCCAATTCTTCTTTTTCTTCTCATCTGTACATGAGTCGATACCATCAAATCTTGTCATTTTTTTATTGAGTTAGACATTGTTATGCATGGCTTTCTACTGATTACAACGCTTTCAGAATTCATGACGTAGCTTTACCTGTTTTGTGATATGGATCTCCTTGTCCTCCTGCTCGTTCCTGTCCCCGCATTGGAATTCGTTGAATTTGCTGACAAACAAGTGCATTGGGGCTGACCGCTGGATGAATTGTTTTAGCATGTGGTTTGCACTCTCGCTTCTCTGCGTGCTTGTCATTCCAGCGCAGAATACATTCATGAAGTATGGCCTTGCCCACATGCCCCTTTTCTTGTATATCCTTTTAAGGAACTTGTTTTTCTCCAGCTTATATTTCCTTATTAGCTGACACCACCTCCTTTCGAATTTCTGCGCCGACACCTCCTCTGTCACTAGCCTGTGGAATTCTTTCTTGAATCCTCCATTTTTGTTGTATGCATTCCCTATCCACTGCTTTGCCTTCCTAAGTACATGCCATTTGCACCAGCGGTGTCTTGTATCCTTCATCGTCGTCCTTATTGCTGCAGCCATTGCTTGGCACTGATCTGCAAACATAAGAAAATCAGGATATATGAGATACGTACGCGACTAAATGGCGCCCTGCTAGTATGCAACAATGCAACAACTTATTTGAGAGCGCATTGATCCAATTTCATACCTGTTAGTATTGTATGGGGTTATTTTCCCCCCATGATATCTACGAAGCTCTTGAAAGCCCACTCAAAGTCCTCTGTCTTCTCAGATGTTAGCAGCACTCCACCAAACACAGTTGACTGGAAATGATTGTTAACCCCCACAAACAGCCCAAATGGTAAGTTGTGTAGGTTTGTTCTATACGTCGTGTCAAACGTGATTGTGTCGCCGAATTGCTTGTATCTTTCTTTGTTCCGACCTGTGCACCACAACATTCTCATGATTCTCCCATCTGAATCCAGTTTGAATCTAACATCCATTTCAACATCAGACTCTTTCATCTTCTCTAGCAACTTCATAGTCTTCGCCAGGTCATCTCTTATGTTCTCTTGTGCTAACTTGGCACATACGGACCTTATCACTTCCCTCCGCCGGTTGTCCCTAGTATGCTGCGTACTCTGCATGTTGATACATTGTTCTCTCTAAGCCGTCTAATGAAATCCTTTGTCACAGGGTCGATCTCACTGTGTGAGTTCCACTGCTTCTTTTCCCCACAGCTCCCAGACAGGTTGTGGTTGTGTTCGGTAATACTCCGGCTAATGTACCAGCTATGGTCTTTAAGCCTTAACAGCCAGATCATTGCCTTACAGCCTGTCCTGCATGATGCTGCGTTTGGATTCGGGCTGTGATCCTGCAATTTTCAGAACAATGTTACTATTACTACCAAAGCATTTGCACGTATCAAGTGCTTCATTCAAGTTCCCGAAACGCTTACCTCGCATGAGCAACATATGTCCTTTTTTGTAATGTAGTCGTTGTCGTTCTTCCTACCCCTGGAAATCCGTATTCCGAAGCCTATCTCCCAAGAGTACAGGTTGTAGAATTTCTTGGCCTCCTCGAAGGAGTTGAATCTTGCCCTTCATATGGATAGAAAATGGGATCATGCTTGCGGTTCTCTGATGTCTTTATCGCCCTTGTAATTGCACTTTCTTCTGCATCCGGCCCTGACATCCCTCTCTTCCTGATTACCAGCAGATACGATGAGCTTTCCATTTTGTAACAGCGAAACTAACAATAATACATGCCTCAATAGAGAAATACCGTACATAACATAACAATCTTGAAGACAAGTCAATAAGAAAATGACGTTAATCATAAAAGCATTCAAGAATGTAAAAAGGACATGTACACATGCGAATTGGCCATAATTTTAAAAATACAAAATCCGCAGGAATTGGGCACAGGACACGCCACGTCCTGGGAGCTTTAGGATTGGACAGGCGGCGCTTCACGCTGCAGCCTCCAGTCTTCAGACCTGCGCCGGCCGACGCCAGGCGCGCTACAGCCGCTGAGTGCCGAGGCGCGTGCCGGGCTCGCAGGCCACCGGTCTGCGACGGCCAGCGGCGACGCGGTGGAGCCGCTTGCAGCTTGCGGGTAGTCGCATAATCGGCCGTCGCCGGTTGAGGACGAGCTCGCGGGGTGGTGAGTGAGAGCCTGGAGGCTGCGGCGGCGCGGCTGCTGTCTGGTTGCGGGGGCAGGAACCGGCGATGGTCAGGGTTACCGCCCTGTGCCCTGCAGTAGCCCCGTAAGGCATCTGGGCCTAGGTGGATGGGTGTCTATTGGGCCGTTGCAATCGTCGCGGCCCAGTTTCAGGCAACTAGGTCCAAGTCGCGCTCCATCTCCGCCTCGTCTCGTACTAGCAGCGCTGTCTTCGTCTTCAACCTCGGCTCTAGCTCGGCCTAGTGGTGGCTCCTCATCTGATCTTAATACGTCGCCCCACAGAAAGCATAGTTTCAGCGGCACACCAGCTCTCCATCCCTAATCGATTCACCATTTACATATATATATACGTCCCCGCACTTAAGTAACTGCATCAATTCAGAATTTGTCGGCGTACCTTTTCTTAAGTTACAAATGGTGATGGAGTCGCATGTAGGCTATTGAGCTCTGTGCCTAGTCTTCCTCCCCTTCCATCGCACGTATTTTCGTTGTTTGCGGCTCCTACAACTGGTAGGCTGGATACCTGCCCCCCGTCGTCTGCTTGCTCCATCTCCACCACCCCTCCGCCCGCCACTGCAGCTTGCCCATCAATCCTCAATGCTCCTCGGCGCAACATTTCTGTGCTAGTAGTTGTTTCTATTCTTAGCTGGCTGCTCGATCGCTGCTACAACCACCGCCAGCGCGGGTAGACCCTCTCCACCTCTCAGTGTTTGATAGTTTTGCATCATCTATCTCCTAAGTCTCGGCAGCCTCTCCTTCAACCTCCTTGATACCTCTCCTATCTTATGAACGCAGCAATCTTACGGCCGAAGCCATGCATTGGTTTCATTAATTGCCCCAGCTACCTATTTTTGTCAGGGATCATCTGTTCTTGTCTCCCATCCACGCAGGCACCACGTAGGCGCCAGGGTGTTATCATCTACCCTACCCTATAATACACCAGTTAGAATAAATCTATAGCCACACAATAAATGCATGTTCCATAGTCATGATCTATGCTACATCCACACCCATGAATACACCCAGAAAATATAACACCATTAAAACGGATGTACCAGATTATCTCTTAGCCATTCTCTCTCATTACTCATCTAAATCCGACGGCTCATGTATAATGTGTCTGCCCTCCATCGCCCTCCGAACAATCGCCCACCCCGCGTGCCGCCCGCGCCCGCCGCGGTTCGATTCCTGGCGGCAGCATATCAATAAAAAAAAAAGAAAACAGCCTCCCGATGCTTCTCCTCCTCGCACAGGGTCCGTTCGTTTAGAACGCCGCCGCCGCCGCCCTTGCCCCCGTCGTGGTGCCTCCTCCTCCCTCTGCCCCCACTGCTTCGAAGCTTTCGGCGGTCGGCTTCACCGACGCTGCCGCGCCGTCCACGGCCGCCCCGACGCCGCGCCAGCTTGCCCTCCGCATCGTGCACGTCGTCCCGGTCCGCTCGATCTACGGCGCAGTCCTCTCCGCCGCCCCGGCTTGCCCTCCACGTAGCGGCCTCGCGGCCACACCGGCCGGTCCTCCGCGCAACCCCACAGCACCCACGCACTCGCCTCAGCCCTCTCCCTCGCAATGCAGCTGCACCAGTGACGTCCGCCTGGAGCCTCACCAGGAGACTCCCTCGCGCCGCGCCTCACCCTCACGCAACCGGCAGCAGCAACGCCTGCGCGTACGGCCCTCTCCCTTGCACGGAAGCTGCACCGGCGCCGTCCTCCACGAGCCTCAACCGGAGGTATGCTCTGCCTACTCTATTTTTATTTCGTCAATTTTTGGAAACGATATGCATACGTGGACCCAATGTATATTCAGGATATGCAGATGTCGATCCAATGTATATTCAGTAGATGGCAGTAGCAATTTTATACAATACCAATTATATACCGTCTCGATTTACGATACCAATTGTACATTTCCTCTTCTATGGTTTGTGCAACGGAGAATTGATGCAAAGTAGACCTTCTGAATGTTTTGCGAATCTACAATGAACCTTAATTTCCGTTTCCCCTGCCCGCAACGATGCCACACAGAGAAAAGTTTCATGTTGAAACATGGAGCATTGTTGCTATTGTACAACCAAATTGTGTTTATCAGCTCATCAAATCAGTACCTCTACTTCTACTGTGCAGTATGCAGGTGTTTATCAAGATGTCTATCATGGTCGATCTCCTCAGTCCTCATACTTCCCAAGAAACTCCAGGTACTAGATGTCGTTTCCTTCTTACTCGACCTGCCACTTTTTCTTATCTCCATATTTTTCCCTTATGGTTTGCCCAGTCTAATGCCTAAATTCGCAGGAGCATAATAGCGCGGAAAGGCGAAGGTGTCCACAACCATTGGCACAAAAGACATAGCAGTAAATGCTATCCCGTTACTCTGTTACATCCTTCAATCACCTACTGAAAAGTTCAAGTATTTTTCGTGATCTCCCTGTGTTCCCTTATGTTCTGGCTAGTCTAATGCCGAAATTTGCAGGAGCATATAGGCCGACAGGTGAAGAAGCCAACATCCATTATAGGCACAGAGTTGAAGATGTCAACATCCATTGGCCAGAAAAGACATAGCGGTAAATGCTATCCCGTTGCTCTGTTACGTCATTCGATCACCTACTCAAAAGTTTAGCTGCTTAATTAATGTACATGTACATCCAAGCTTGGCCGGCTTATGAAGGGCCTAATCCTTTTAGCTTATATTGAGCAGCCCATCCAGTAAACCACACCCTGTGCCTAAAACACTAACAGTACTGTGTTGAAATTGTTATATCAGGAATTAGAGCAATTCCTTAGGGTACTAATGCCTTCTTTGTGGCAACCAAACTCATGCGTTCCACGGTAAAAAAACGATTCAGAACCGAGGTCGCAACCACCCAGCGACGTAGCTAGCCCCCGGTGGCCGGAGTCGCAGCCGCGGCCGTGGCTGGCCTTGCGGCCCCGTGGCTGGCTCCGTGGTTGGCGGTGTGGTCCCCCTGGTTTTGGTCACCTGCTGCCGGCTGTGCCGGGCCATCAACACCCTACCATCTTGGCTGGTTGAGCTCCGGCGACGCCCCTGGCCATCGCGCCGGCTCTCCCTTCCTCACCCTTGTCGTTGATGAGCATCACCAGGGTGAGCTCACCTTCCTATTCCCTTCCTGCTACGGTGAGAATCTGAGCACTCGAACCCTAACTAGCTATTTGGTTATTTGTGTTCAGATCTGATCCATTTATAAGTGTATATCCTTGTGTTATGCCTTCTGTCGTGAGTTACTTTCCCCTTTGTAATGGATGTCAGTTCATGGATATATGAATGGATTGATGGAGGGTGTTTCTATTGTTTGGAAATCATGGATGTCAGTTCATGGATATATGAATGGATGTCAGTTTAGTTTGGAAATCATGGTCTTGAATTAGCATTGTATCTAGAATTGGATTGTATCGGAATAAAATTCTTGTGGTATGAATGCTGTGTCTGCTACTGATGTTCTCTTTTTTCCTAAGGTTCTTATTTGTTGATCTATTTGCTTTTTTTTTCTTCTGGATGGAGAAAGGGTACAATATGAATTTTGGAAGAACCTCTTTGATTTCTTAGATAGGAGGTGATACATGTGCATGACTATTAAATAGTAACCTGCTCAAATCAAACCATATATAGCTACATTTCACACTATTGCTAAAAGGTTTAGTCTCGCTACGAAACTGATAAGTTCTAAGTGGGACGGCAACATTTATTACTGGAAGCGAATATTCCCTGCATGTGTTACAAAAGTTCCAAAACATAAAGACTAGTAATCACCTATAATATGTTTCATCTTTCTTATTATCATAAAATAGTTATTTGATTTATGTACAATAAATCAAACAAATGCTCATCTCCAGGAAATTAGGAGGCTTCCTTGTATACAATTTCATAAAGTCATGAGATGGTGTAAGATTGCCACCGATCAACACTGTAAGCATATATTCTCTAACTATATTCCGTACACTACATACAAAATTAATAACTTAACTTATTATATCTATCATGCACAGCTATCAAATTTACTGAGGATGGAATTTTTGGGGGGACATTCTTAAGAGCCATGCAAACGAATGTTTTGACAACTTTCCTGAAGATCTTCAAGTCATGATTAAGGACTTAGACATAATGTAACTTAAATAGTTATATGAGAAAAAACTTTACTATGACTTCTTAGTTTTCCGGATTGTATACATGCTCAAAAATATTATGTAAAAGTTGAACTATAAAAAAATATTAGTTGTTTTTATGTGTGTCTCCAGTAAAAATCCGTTGCGTTAGCACGGGCATTATAATAGTTACTCATAAACGATGTCCTTCCCAGTCTCCAATCTCCACGCGATTCGTTGTCCTGCACGGTCCGATCAACCTGGGTATATGCACGCGGTTGTACCAAATCCTTGTTGCCTCGGAGGGGGAGGAGCTACGCGTGGAGGGCGGCGGCGACTCGATAGTGTTCAGGGTCTCGAATCTGAGGCCGCCGCCGCGCGCTCCTCGTTCCTCGTAGTCCCTCGCGTGGCAGTCCGGACGCCATGCGCGCGTGCTATGGCTGCTGCCGTGGCGCCGCGCTAGCCGCGCGTGTGCTGCCGGCTGTGCGTGCGCCGCTCAACCCCGTGCCGGTCCCCACCGCCGGCCGCGCGTGCGCCGCTCCACTCCGTGCGGGCCGGCTGCTCTCCTAGCTAGCCGCGCGTGCGCTGCTCCACCCTGCGCGGGCCAGCTGCTCCACCCCACGAGGCCCGACAGCTTGAGAGGAAGATGGTGTTGGGTCGCTGATAGCTTGCCCCCACCAGGCAGAGAGAAAGAAGTAAGAGGATAGGATTACGACAGAATGGCACTTTGGATGTTTTTATTGGAAGGGCCGACAAAAACTAGACGGAAGGTGGACGGAATGGGTTGGACGACAAAAAAAATTTAGGCGAGTGACATCTAGATGTGCTCAAACTTTCTAGTGGTCTATAGTTAAGGACCATCTTTTTAATGGTACATAAGTAAAACCCTCATTTAATGAAAATGAGGGTAGACACAGTACCTTTTGGAGGACATATATGGAAAGTTGTAGCATATTTATGTAAAGCAGCCAGGCCATCCTGTAGCAACAAAAATGAACCTCGTATCCATGTCTTCAAACACGTGAATCAACATTGACAAATGCACGCTAACAGTACATGTGTGCCATCTATTATGCCTATGCAATTATTGAAATGTGGTGTGAAACAAGGAATTTTCAAGTTTAGGACGCACTTAATTAATTGAACTCTCGATGTCTTGTTTGATAAGATCTTTAGCAAGAAAGATTGCCACTATCCAAAACTTTGACAAATTTTCTACTAATTGCTTCGACTGACCTCTCAAACCGGTTTGCAACTTGGTTAAATGATTGTGAAGCTCCAATAATCCATAAAGACAGGCGATGGTATTCTCCCAGTAAGGCCTGAAACTTGTTGAATGATCAAAATGTGATGTGGCCATTGTTCTGGACGCTGCATGGTGCTTCTGTAGTCACAACCAGTTTCTCAATTCCTAATGCTGTATCTTTTTTTTTCCCCTGTGTGTTGTATTGTTCTTAGTCCTGCTGCGAATGTACCCTGGTCGCAAACATGCTTCGCTGCGCGGAGGCGTCAGCATGAGTGCAGGACTGTGATGAGCTTATCAGTCAGTGCTTGATGGCTGCACACTCTTCTCTCCTACGTATCGAGACACAGTTGCGCATCTAACAAAGTAGATATCTATGTATTTAGAAAAGTCAAAACGACTTATACTTTGTAACATAGGTAGTATGTTTTAACTGAGATGCGAACAAAGATAAAAGACCGCTTTTATCCAATTTAGTTTATAACCAATAAATAGACAGATCGTTGACGACCGTTTACCATTCATTAATTAACATTTTATCACCTAAATAGTTCTCTATTCCTGCGTCTGGACAAATAGAGGAACCTTCTGGTGAGAGCCAAACATCTGCAAAGATGAGGTGTCGCAAACAATTTTTCTGAAAAAAACAGTCAAGTAGAGATTGCCTGCCCTGGGTCTGCCTTGTATTGCTTAACTGGATTAGTAGCTCTGACTGGATATTGGTGCTGTTTTTGTTTACCTGAGTACAAGGACTAGTCACTAGTGTGTAGCAACTAGCAAGGAAGCACCAGTAAAGTAATATCTGCTGAATGGTAGAATCTAGAGTGAATGTCATCTGGTGCTGTTCTCAAGTTAGTGATTACACAAACACTAATGTATTTCAGCACCAACAGAACCTAAGCGGAGTGGGAGAAGCTTAGCAACTATTAAGACAAAACCCCAGCCATACACACCTGACTATAAATTCCAATCCCCCAATTCTCTAATTCCCAATCTAATTCAGTTCTAGTAGATAGCTAGCACACATCCATAATTAAATCACTAAGTCTACACTACTGCACTTGGCTGCATATTGGTATAGACAAAAAAAAAAAAGCAGCAATTTGTAAATTAACTGTTGAACCCCTTCGGTCTGCACCAAGGCAGCCCTTTGACCAAAGAATAAAAAACATTAGTATAACGAATTAGAAAGCCTATCTCCATTCCTATTCGTTTCAACTAGTTCTGCAGTCTCAATTCCACCCATAACTTCAAAGCATCACTGATACACTGAAATTAATTACTCCCTGCATGAAATGGAACTTTGTATTGCCGTACATGGTTGCCAACATGGGTCTGATGTTTAATCAGCAATGGCACCCATGTTCCAAGGAACATGGGACCTAGTTAGCATACAAATTTGAACCTACATCGCTACAACAGATACAATACTGATTTTGAGTATTAACACGGCAAAGCATAAACACTGATTGGGGCACAACAAAGAAGCTCCGCAAGTGAATAGTCTGCTGCTCCCTCAGCCACATTGTAGTTTGCACAAATATTGCTCCGCAAGAGATACAATACTGCTCCCTCAACAAAGAATATATTGCCAGCATTGATACTTGCACAAATTTAATTGCATGTTTTCATTACATTTTCTGATTCTTTTCTTAGCTTCCAACCAATAAAGAATCAGGTTTCCTGTGAAACAGATGACCCAGGTTTCTGTCACACTGTAGTTACATGCAATATATTCTTGAGAATTTGAGATTAAACATCATCTGAAAGCTAACATTAATTCATTTATGGAAATAGTGTTGGGCTATGATGCATTTAACCCTCACATATCTCAGGAGTCAGGCCTATCTGCTCCAAACACAGGTCTCATCTAGTCAGGGTGACACAAACACACTGAGTGCCATCTCTCCTGAATACAATATATGGTTTTGGTTTTTGCAAAGACATGTTCACAGTTTCACTAACAGTATCCCACGCTATTCCATTGTGCTTTTCTTCTTTGTAAGTCTTGGGCTTCGCTGATCACACACTTCTTTCAACAGGGCCCTTAGCACACATCCACAATAGTGCACCACAAAATTCTCATCAAATGACAAATATGTCAGCATATACTACTAGTTAAAGAGAAGAAAAAAAACTAAATATTTTATCGATCAGTGCATAATAGCTAGTGTTACAACACCACACTTACACATAAAGCAAGCTTAGAGTGTGAAAACTAAACTAAAATTACTAAGTCTGCTTGTCACGTTTATGTTTATCAGCTAATTCCTTCAGCTTATGGGTTCCCAGCAGATTCAACACGCACATTGGCAAAAGAAGCAGGCGCCAAACCAGGAGTGGACCCACCTCATCAAGTCCAGGTAATTTTGTGTAAAACAGATAGACGTATAAGACGATTTGTAGCAATATGTAAGGATTCTGAAAAACAACCACAGAAATTTAAAATGTTAGTTATGAAATTTGGAACATTATAGTTGCATTTGCCATAATTATCATAAAGGAGAATATTACTTATCATTAATTCTATTGCTAGCATATAGTGATATTACTGTAACAAAAAGAGTCCCACAGAAACTTTCAGAAGGATTGATGGTATGCGCATTATCAGTATAATGGTTGAGGAGGGGGGTTGAAACTGGGTGCTATTTGCAGCTTCAACCAGATGACATGTAGCAAATTCGCAATTGGATTAAATAGTGATACAAGTCATGCACACACAAATACTTGGGCTTCCACAATCCCATGAGTAACAAAACTCAGTCTGCCCCTAACCCTGTTGCCACATTTCTCACAAGCTTTCTGACACCATCTACCTCACTACATGCTGCATCTGATGTTGCCTTATGCTACCATGAACCCAACCCTTGTAAGCTATGGCCACATGGACTCACATGTTCTCCCTAACAAATGTCCTTAAGTAATTGATTTACCACCACATGCCGCTGGACTTATTAACTGAAATGTGAACAAAGCAGTAAAGCAGAGAAGACAATAAATGCAAATTTTGCTAGAAGTTAGGAATATTGTGCAGCAAAGTCTCCTAACGTTATCCTGTGTAACTCCTAACATTATCCTGTCTAACTGCAAGTTCTTGAAATTTGGCTATCGCAGAAGTTAACACTAGCACAGAAGATGTAAAGATTTTTATCACAGCAGCTTCGAACTATTTTATATTGCTGAACTTCCCATAATTTTGAGAACTTTGTAAGCATTTTCTAGCTCTTCTAGAACCATATCAATCAACCAAATTTTCTTGAATGACATACAAGCTACAAACTGGCTGCAGTAGGTACGGTTCACTGAGCTGCACATTACTGAACTCAACGAAGCCAAGTTAACCAAAACAGCAATCGGAGGAATCCTACCGAAGTTAGCACGAAGCATGCAGAGCTCGAATGAAGTGACATTGCAGCTGGTGGTTCTGGTGGAAGGACAAAACTAGAGGGAGCTGATTGCAACAGCAACAGGCATGGGTAGCAGGAGCACCGAGCATCACACCTGTTACAGCCATCGCGGCAGGCGGTAACAGTGAAGAGTAGCGGCTGTGGTGGTTCGGATCCTCTGAATTATCTGCCCACTCACTCATTTACAGAGCCGTGCAGTGACCGATTCATGACAACGCCCACTGGGTTTGGGCATCCAGAGCCGGCACCGTTAACTTTCTCGACGCACATCCTCACCGAGGCATGCCCCTCCGCCGCCGTGCCGCTCCCGGCCACAACGGCGACCCCAGTCCCCAAGTGCTGAGTTGGAAACCCCTATAGATGCGCGAAAACTAACGAATCCCCAACGCCACAACTTCCCGCCAGATAATAAAGGAACAGGATGAATCTTCGGATGACGGCACTCGGCGAGGCAATTCTGGACAGATTTTTCGATTTTCTTTCGTCCTCGAACTACAGATAAAAGGGCATAAGGGACCTGTGTTGATCAACAAGCAGGAGTACGTGCTTACCTTGAAGAATCCGGACCAATCGAATCCTCCTCCGTTCTCCCTGCGTTCTTCTGGCACGCCGGCGCCGCCTTCCCCCTTCGTCACTTCCATGCCTCCGGCCTCCGCCCCGATTTTGCTCCCGTCAATGGGGCAGACGTGGGCTCTCTGGGCTGGGTATCGAAATCGGACAGGTGGGCTGGCCTCGCCCAACGGGCCCAAAGACAAGCACTATATATTATCTACTTATATATATTATATATATAATTAGAATAAAATAAATAAGAAAAATGAAAAATGATTTTTTAAAAGGAGAAAAATGAACTAGAAAAAGGTTATACCATACTTAAAATATGTATCCGAGACGGGCCTTCATGGCCATGTGGTAGTTGGAGGCCTATTTTTGATGCCGAACATGTCAAATCAACCCCGTATTATCATGAAAAAATAGATGATGACAGGGCTAGTAAGAGCGGAGATGGCACCTCCATAAGAGACAGAGCCACCCTAGCGGCGGGGTGGGGCAGCCGCCCCAGCTACCGGCGAGCTCTCCCAGACCCCGTCTTCTTCCCTAACACCGGCGGTGAGCACAAGCAAGATAGGCGCCGCGCATCTCGTCCTCCGGCTCCTGGCTCCACACTCATAGTTGTTGCCGCAGCGGCAACCAAAGCTCCTGTTGTTCTTGCATTGTTCTTCAACTTCAACTGCTGTAGGCGGCAGGTGCTAGAGGTGCCTCCAAGAGGACTTTACTCTGCCTCTTCCGGTGAGCTCCTGGTGGTGGCACCAACACCAACGGTCAGGCGTGCAAAGGAGCGAGATGGGTGAGAGAAGAGAAAGAAGTAATATTATTTTATTTCTTATGGATGCGTAGGCTAAGGTGAACTTTTGGTGTCAGTTTCTCGTGGTGCAGCTTCATAATGTTTACGGTCTATTCTTGTAGCAGCAATAAATGCCTAATGTCGTTTCGTTGAAAACACAAGCTAAAAAATATTGTTCGCTGATTTGTTGTGAGAGAAAAACACTGTTCCTCATGTGAACAGCTGGTTCCACATGTCTCTCACTCCCTCAAGCGTTGCGACGTGTCCCAACGCACGCGCGCTGAATAGATTTTAGGTCCCAACGCTCGCGTGTCATCATCCACCTGGTCAGGCCAAGCCTAGTTCATAAATAGCAGAAGTGCAGAACCTTGTAGCCATCCATGCATCATTCATCGGCACTTCAATTCTCAGACCTGATCTCACAAGTACTCGTCGTTTAGAGCTCGATCTCCGACATCAATTGGATGATGGCGTCCGCTGCTATTGTCAAGAAGGCCGCCGTCATCATGCTGGTGCTGACGCTGACCATGGGGCATCAAATGACTAATGCGTCGCCACAGCAGCCACGGCGGCTGCTTGCGGTTGCGGAGGAGCGCGAGGTGCCAGGGAAACAGGCCTCTCTGCCGGTGCTCCCTGCCGATGCTGCTGTAGTAGAGAATAGACCTGGCTGCCCGCCTAGCTGCTTTGAAGATCTTTGGGGCGGCTGTTTCTGCCCAATTAAGTCTGCAGGTTTGTTCGCTGGCCGCTGGACCTCTTCCTGCTCTCAGTCTCCAAGGAACGTCTGTGAGTGCCCTGTGTGGTTGTGGTTGGCTGCGACGATGGCCCAAGAACAAATTGGCTGCTGGCTGAACATGCATGTACGTAGCCCAAGTAGTCTACCTTGGGCTGCTTCGATTGGTTAAGCTACTTGTTGTATTTAATTTGCTTTCGTCACTTGCGTCGATCTGGTTAAGACGACGGCACGTTGTTGGTTTTCGTTTTACAGCATGTTGTCCATTTGCAGCCATGCTTGCAGATTGCCTGCTGTCATATCAACTACTCCAACCATTTGTCCTCTCCCTTCCCCTCCCATAATTCGAGTTCCCCATAAACTCCAAATGCACCACCAAGGCCGCCATGGCTGAGCCTTGTCCATACTCCAACTCTTAACAAGAAATCCACAATCGAAATCGTCATTACCTCCTCCCCTCTCTCCTTGTGCAAACCACGTCACAAATGGTGGCCAGATTTGCATCGACGATGAAGTAGTTGTTGATGTGGAGATGTTATGTAGAAACTTAAATTAGTTTTCATATGATTTGGAGCTTGTTTCTCCTGGTTGATGAAGAGCTCGATGTAGATCTACATCAACAGTACAAGGACGTGGGTCGACAGCCACCTAAAGCCTTGCCTAATAGAACGGTTGGTGTGTTTGCTGCTAGGAAAAAATGTGGTCAGGCACCTAGGCATGTCACCTCCCTATTTATATATGCACTAGTAAAGGGCGCGCGCCCTCGCGCACATGTAAAGGAGCATGACCAGAATTATGAGTGACTGATGCACATGTCGCAGGCACGGTCATTTGCATAGTTAAGGTACCTTCACTGATATATATTTACAGCATGGTGAAAGTACAAAGGTGCAGGCATATGGCAGTGCCATCGGTAGTCGACGGTGTACCATAAGAGGTCGCTGCGATTTACAAAGTGCAGGTACGATGACTGGTTCATATTTACAGAACAGCACAGGCTGGCTGATATAGTAACTACACGCTGAGGAACAGATCCTTTTTCACAAGAGGGCCTTTTGTTGGGGTGGACTGGAACCCTACTTACTTCTATAGCAACAGGTGATCAGGTCCATTAGAATCCGTGACCTAATCTAATTGTGTTGCTACCACGCCTACAACCTGTATCAAGGATAAGGCAGTTTTCCCCGTATCATACTTTGTAGTAAAGAGAGCATGTATGTCCGACCAAAAAAGTTGTGTTAGTTTCACTTCAAAATTATCAATCTTCACTTTCTGAGGAAATTTTGTGATTTGTTAATCTGTACAGACTATCTGAACTGAACTTCCAAAATAGGTAAACCTGATATATTCTATTGTTGTTCTAAATAGCCTAATGAGTGATGAGCATAGCAGATATGATCCTTGAGTACAAGATTTGTAATATGGTGCCACCACTATTTATCACTTAATATAATACAAGCATAGCTATATGGGTAAGATTTTAGAGTAGAAATCAAAATAAGGAACTCATATATCAGGTTTTTTGTTGGCAAAATCGATGGGCAGTTGGCAATCCGAGATAGTGCAACTTCATAGCTAAAAATCAAAGCATTAATGAACACACCTGTGAAAAAAAAGGCAATCTATTGTCCCATACATATATTACGTCCCAGCATCCTACAATGAACAAACAGGTATGGAAGAGAAAAATAAAGGCATGGTACATTCGAATAAGGTTGGAAATGGAATCGTTCAAAAGAAGGGCTGCCTGCATTTGTTGTAGTCACCATATTGGCACAATTAAAAAAAAAGAAAACAGGAAACCCAAGCTGCAGGATGCACCCCTAAATTTCATTCCATTAAACCTTTTTTTTGGAGATTTTGTTTCTATGTCAAAAAAAAAAAGAAACTCAGAGGCTGTCTAATAAGCTGTGCAAATCACAATTACCAGAGGCTTGAGGCCTTCACTGACAACCAGAATTAGAAGATCAGATGACATCCTTGGAATCATTTATAAATAATATGTTAGTGGTTACCATACGGGAAATACGGAACACAAGCAATTATACATTAATAGGAAATAACAGATAGGTATTGCACAGATAAATACTGCATGCATTTATATTGGTCTAGCATCTGTGTAGCTGGGATTAGTCCAGGCTTAAAACTAAGGACCTATGATGCACATGAAGCCATTAGGCACCATGTTCAACTGCAAAACAGATAAGGAGTTTGAAAAATAGGAAGCTGCATCCATGTTCATATACTTTTATTTCCCCTTTTTTCCATCAACATTAGAGCACTATTAATTTGAAGTTGAAATCCGCAGCATTGTTGTCTGTACAAATCGAATTTTCAATTGAACCAAGTCGGAAACTCGCTGCAAAAAGAGGTAGTATTTAAATTCCAACTACGCAGCTGTATGTGCCAACCTTATATCTTTCCATACTGTACAGCGTGAAGTATAAGTGTGTGTAATAAAAGAACATGTCTGTGCAGACTTTTTTCCCCGTGTGACGAAGTTGCGGCGCCATCTTGATCTACACCCGATGGTGTAATCCCGGGCAGGTGCTTAGCTGATTGCAGTGGGCGCACCACAAGCACGAAGAAGTCAACCAACATGGCAGCACCACATCGTTGGTGTCTGGCACTACCAATACATATTAGGTATTTCTATCAGAGGATCTCTAGCAGTATTAGAGGATGATTAGACACAAACCTGAAGGGGCTACAGGTCCTGAAGTGAATGATTGATCACCACAACTCGCATGGATGCTGAGTGTTAAGCTGACACGCACGGATTCATTGCGGTGTGGAAAAAGAGAAAATAGAAATCAATCAGCACAAGCAGACCATGATCCAGCCATCAAACTTCAATGTAATGCAAAGAATAACAACATTGTTCTAACCTTAGATTTGCAAACCTTTAAACAGAGGAAATAGATCTGTCCCTTGAAGCAGCAAATGGATCTCTGGATTGGATGTAACTAATCAAGAAGATAAATCCTAGGAAAATGTGTAATCAGCTGAGACATAGAAAAGCAAGAGAAAAGTTAAACTCTAAACTAAAAGTCCATAGGTACAGCCTCTATCCTTATGTTTAGCCCAGTCTCTATCATATTGGATCTCCAAGCTGGAATGTAATATTAGTTGATAGCTAGCAAACAGATATAACCATCAAGGGCTACGTGTCCTTGCTTCCATGCCAAAAAAAAAAAATCGGAGTTTAAAGTCTGAGCTTCATCATGTTTGCTCATAATTAAAGAATGGCAATGCAAGAATATCGAACATGCATGATCTGTCCTTGGTTTCGTTGATCCTTGCTCCAGCATATTTATTGTGTCGTTGTTTGTGTGTTTATCCATGAATGCACGCAGCAGAACGGGTAGGCGATGCAGCTGCCCGGCCGTGCCCTGCCTTTCCCTGGCTGCCAAGATGGAGGAGACTCTCGTGTCGTCCCTCCTGGACCTATAGGAAAGGCAATTAGGAGGTCCTGTAAGCATGCTGTGATCAGCGGGTAGGCTAAATTATTGATGAATGGATGACAATACTGAAATGTTAAAAAGAGGCATAGGTATTATTAAATT